GGAAACGTGGGTCCCCCTTCCCATGGGCTCACCACTTGTGAGAGGGGCCAAAGGGGGCGGGTGCAGTGCGTGACGGGTGGTAGTCGAGGGCGGGGACCTTGGTGGTCTGATCCTTGGCTACAGAAGCTGGCTCTTGAAACATGGAATGTCACCTCTCTGGTGGGGGAGGAGCCTGAGTTGGTGTGTGAGGTTGAGAGGATCTGACTAGATATAGTCGGACTCACCTCAACGCATGGATCTGGCTCTGGAACCAGTTTCCTTGAGAGGGGTTGGACTTTCTACCACTCTGGAGTTGCTCCCGCTGAGAGGCGCCGAGCAGGGGTGGGCATACTAGTTGCCCCCCCATCTTGGTGCCTGTACGTTGGGGTTTACCCCAGTGAATGAGAGGGTAGCTTCCCTCTGCCTACGTGTGGGGGGACGGGTTCTGACTGTGGTCTGTGCTTATGCACCAAACTACAGTTCAGACTACCCATCCTTTTTGGAGACCTTGGAGGAGGTGCTGGAAAGCGCTCCTTCCGGTGACTCCCTCGTTCTGCTGGGGGACTTTAACGCTCACGTGGGCAACAACAGTGAGACCTAGAGAGGTGTGGTTGGGAGGAACGGCCCCCATGATCTGAATGCGAGTGGTGTTTTGTTATTGGACTTCTGTGCCAGTCATGGATTGTCCATAATGAACACCATGCTCAGACATAAATGTGTCCATATGTGCTCTTGGCACCAGGATACCTTAGGCCGCTGTTGGCTTCCATTCCATTTATTTGATAAAGCACATTTAAAAACAGCATGTGAGCTGACCAAAGTGCTGTACAGGGGTAAAAACATATAAGGTTAAAAGAATAATATAAAAGAGTAGAACAGCTAGAGCATAACACAAAGAACCAAACAAGAGAAGTCAATAAAATCGGTAAAAGAACAGTATAAATAAACCATCGATAAAATAACTAGGCAGTAAAAGCAAGGGAATTAAAGTAAGTCTTTAAGTGAGACTTAAAAACCCCAATGGAGGAGGAGAGTCTGATATTCAGCGGGAGATCATTCCAGAGTTTCGGAGCGCAGACAGAAAAAGCTCGTTCACCACGGGTTTTGCAGCGTTGACGGGGAATCTGTAGTAGGTGTAGGTCACCTGAACGGAGAGTCCTGCCCGGCACATAAGGAGTGAGTAACTTGGATATGTAGGGTGGTGCTGAGCCATTCAGCGCCTTAAAAACAAACAATAACATTTTAAAACGTATACGATAGTGCACAGGAAGCCAGTGAAGTCTTGCTAAAATTGGAGTGATGTGCTGCCGACGGCCAGTATTGGTCAGAAATCTTGCTGTCGCATTTTGCATCAGCTGAAGGCGAGATAATGCGGCTTTTGAAATGCCAAACAGAATTGCTTTGGAGTAATCCAACCGTGAGGCAAGAATGGTTGTCTTGAGGTGTCGCCAATTCAGAATGGGTTTTAGTTTGGAAAGACGTCTCAGCTGATAAAAACATGATTTAACCATGTGATTAACATGAGGGTCCATTTTTAGAGCCACATCCATTTTAATTCCAAGATTAACAATTGTTTGACTAATTTTAAAAGGAAGAGCAGAAAAATCAGGAGCGGAGGAAGACGAGCCATTAGGAGTAAAAACAATAAACTCGGTCTTAAAATCATTCAGCAGCAGAAAATTTGCTGACAGCCAGTCTTTAACCTCACTCAGGCAATCAAAGAGCAGCTGGATGGAGGTAAAAGTCTTCAATGGAACATAAATCTGGCAGTCGTCCGCATAAAGATGAAAGTTAATGTTGAACTTCCTGAAGATTACTCCAAGTGGAAGAATATTAATGCTAAATAAAAGGGTGCCGAGAATAGACCCCTGTGGCACGCCCCAAGGAAGAGCAGCAGAGGGAGATGAAAAGTCGTCCATTCTAACTCTAATAGACCTGTTGTCAAAGTAGGAGCAGAACCAGTCAAGCGCAGATCCCTTAATGCCGACCAAATTCTCAGGATGGGACAATAAAATGTCATGGTCAACCTTGTCAAATGCAGCTGAGAGGTCCAACATCACCTGTTGGCTTCATCAGAACGTGATCTTCAGCTTTCGCTGGAGCGGTTCGCAGCCGAGTGTGAAACAGCTGGGATGAGAATCAGCTCCTTTAAATCTGAGATCATGGTCTTGAGTCGGAAAAGGGTAGAACACCTTCTCCGGGTCAGGGATGAGGTCCTGCCCCAAGTGGAGGAGTTTAAGTATCTCGGGGTCGTGTTCACGAGTGAGGGAAAACTGGAGCGTGACATCGATAGGCGGATTGGTGCTGCATCTGCAGTGATGCGGGCGTTGTACCGGTCTGTCGTGGTGAAGAGAGAGCTGAGTCAGAAGGCGAAGCTCTCGATTTACCGGTCGATCTACGTTCCTACCCTCACCTATGGTCATGAGCTTTGGGTAGTGACCGAAAGAACGAGATCGCGGATACAAGCGGCTGAAATGAGTTTTCTCCGGAGTGGCTGGGTTCTCCCTTAGAGATAGGGTGAGAAGTAGCCTAGTGAACTAGACCAAATTCTTGCTTTGCAAAGTTTGGTCTAGGCACACTCCATTGGAACCTCCGCAGCTCCTACCAGGACTCTGGCTAGCCAATCACAGCTCTCTAGAGGGGTTTCAAACATAAAGAGCTGTGATTGGTCCATAATGGTGGGCCAATCATAGTGCTCTATTTGCTTAGTGAACAAATCACAGAGCTTTATCCGCTTTGTGGGCCAATCAGGGCACTCTAAATGCCTGGTGGGTGGGATGATGCAACCGAGTGAAACAAGAGTATGTCACATTCATTGTCCAGTAGCATGCGGAGATCATTTGAAAGACAACGGTAGAACCCGCCCCACAACCGAGAGCCATCAATGGAGCGTTGCCAGACTAAATAATACATTTATTTAGTCTGGCTTGCAAGGCTAGGTGAGAAGCTCAGTCATCCAGGAGGGGCTTGGATTAGACCCACTGCTCCTCCACATGGAGAGAAGCCAGGTGAGGTGACTCAGGCATCTGGTCAGGATGCCTCCTGGACGCCTCCCTGGTGAGGTTTTCTGGACACATCCAACCGGGAGGAGACCTACAGGTAGACCCAGGACACGGTGGAGGGACTATGTCTCTCACCTGGCCAGGAATGCCTTGGGATTCCCCCGGAGGAGCTGGCCCAAGTGGCTGGGGAGAGGGAAGTCTGGGCCTCTCGCCTGAGGCTACTGCCCCCGCGACCCGGCTCCGGATAAGTGGATGAAAATGGATAGATGGATCTTTGAAAGTTGTTTGTTTGTTTGTTTGTTTGTTTGTTTTGGGGAAAAAAGCTTAAAGAGCAAGTCACCCCTTACAAGAAGCGTACTTCACTCCCTCTTCATGTTTGAAAAATGCAACAAATGCTGTTGCCTAGCAGACCGAGAGGGTGGAGCCATTAACAAATACACACACTCACGACATTGTGACATCATAATATACCAGTTTACATCATAGCATACCTCTTAACCAATAGCGGTGGCAGATTTAAATTCAAATGCAGTGAAGAGTTTTTACCTGACTACGGCACAACACTGACAGTTTCAGGCAGAAAATTTAAATTTTAACTAAAATGCACTAAAGTGCAAAACTGTTGACTACACGTGTCTGCAGCACGATTAGACACACATTTATATAGTTTATCAGGAAAAAAAATAATTGATTTGGGGGTGACTTGCTCTTTAAGTCCTAAATCTTTTACGTTTATAGGTCAATTTATTATAAGGTTAGTGAGTTCCCAGCCAAAGCAAAATGTTATTAAATACATTAAGAATGTCCCTTACTCACTACAAACAGCACTGTTATGTACTTTGTCCATTGTCACATTTACATAAATCTGATTTTTTTCAGTTGTTTTTCCCCCAAAACAGAAAACCCTTCAAATCAATGTTTAATTAAATTTTTTATATAAAGAAATGTTTAGCCATTATGAAAGACTCCACCTCTTAATGTTAGTCCTGATTACCATACTGATTTATTTATACAATGCATTTACAAACAGCATGTGACCAAAGTGCTGCATAGATAATTAGGCTAAAAAGTCTGGATCCAAATATAGATTAAAATAATTATAGTAATTTTTTTTAATACAAACATTTAGTAAAATCTTTGATTTTATGTTTATCACGTTGTGCACAGGTGAATTCTTCCCCAAAAAAGCACTTTTTATGGATTATTAAACAGTTAAAACAATGTAAAAAAAATTCTGCTGAGAAATAGTTGTATAAAAGAGATTTTAAATAAAGTAGTGTTTAAAAAAAGACTAAGTCTAACTGTGTGCTGTGTGGTGTATAACTCCGGTTTAATTTGTTCTCAGCTACAAAGAAAGTGCTATGAGACTGTCCAGAATCCACCACGACAGACCCATGAGTCCTCTGGACGAGGCGGTTTTCTGGATCGAGTTCACCATGAGGCACAAAGGAGCAAAGCACCTGAGGGTCCAGGCCCACGAGCTCACCTGGTACCAGTATCACAGCCTGGATGTCCTGAGCTTCCTGCTCTCTGTGGTTCTGCTGCTCCTGCTCCTCCTCGTCAAGACCTGCAGGTTCTGTTTCCGGAGGTGCTGCTGCAGAAGGAAGACCAAGAGGAAGGCTGAATAACAAACTCAGCTCAGATTTATTGAAGAGTCTGATCAGATTGTAACACGGTACCAGCTTTTGTCACCATCTTGTGGTTGGATTGAAATCATGCCGGTCTTTCATTTTGCAGAAAGCATGTTCACACAAACAGGTCCGTTCCGTATTTGACTTTCGCCTTGACAGCTAAAAAAATCCGTCATCATATTTTTGTTTTTAAATTTTCATAAATGACATTTTGTTTGTTTTTTATGTTCTAAGAGTTAAAACTGTACTATAATGATTTTAAACTCCTAACAAATCATGTTTCAATGTTTATTTTTTACATTTCATATTACTTTTGCACCCATCAGCTAATACAGTTAAGTTTATGCTGGTTTTGGACATGGGTTGCATGGTGGTTTTAGTTGGTAGCACTAGTGCCTCAGAATGAGATCATTGGGTCTAATCCCAGAGTTAGAAAGTTCTCTCATGCATGTGTGGATTTTCTCCAGGTACTCTTCCCACAAAACCAAAACCATGCACATCAGATTAATGGTAAATCTAAATCTTCCCTCAGTGGGAGAAAAACTCCCCAGACCTCTTAGGCCAACATTGCCTTTCATCTCCTAACCTGAACTGTTATCTGGGGTCACTCAGTATAAAGAGAAATGAGGCAAAGTTCATTTAGTTAATGAGTATCTCTACAGTGCATGTAATAAAAAAACAGGTGAATTCACAGCAAACATCCACCATGGAGCTGCGCGTCTCTGCCTGCATCCTGCTGCTACTTTCTGTAACATCTGGAGTAGATGGAGGGAAGATTTTGGTTTGGTACACCGAGGCCAGCCACTGGATTAACATGAAGCTGCTGCTGGAGACGCTGGTGGACAGAGGACACCAGGTGACCGTGCTGGTCCCGAGCACATCCATGTTCATGAACAGCAGCGAACCCTCCCGCTTTCACTATCAGCCTTTTAACGTCTCTGTCTCGATGGAAGTCGTGGAGAAGTTTCTTAATGACTTCCTTCACTTTGCCATTTATGAGGTGGATTACATGAGCTACCTTCAGGTGTACAACAGGTTTATGGAATTAATCCAGAGCAACATGCAGTCTTCCATGAAGTTTTTGGACGGTTTGGTGAAATCAGAACCCATCATGAAGAAGCTGAAGGAGGACGGCTACGACTTACTCCTGGCTGATCCCATCTACCCTGGAAGTGAACTAACGGCAGACATTTTGGGGATTCCTCTTGTGTTTTCCTTGCGATTTTCCTTGGCTCATAACTGGGAACGAGTGTGTGGTCAGCTACCTGCTCCACCTTCGTTTGTTCCTGCTCCCATGACCAAACTAACCGATAAGATGGACTTCCTAGAGAGAGTGTGGAACTTCCTGTTCTACCCGTTGCAGGACATCATGCTGGAACGAAATCTGTGGAAAGAGTTGGATAAGCATTATTCTGAAGTTAAAGGTAAGAATTCCTGACAAGCTAAACAATTTGTGGAATTCACACATATATACATATTTGTTTTCTGGTTAGTTTAAGCATTTAGGTCACATACAGGTCAAATAAGCAAAAGTCCATTTATTTCAGTAATTCAGCTTAAACCGTGAGACCATATAAAGGCTCAGGAACTCTGCAGGTTTTGGATTAATTAGTTGATTAGAGTGACACTTTCAGCCTAGAATATTGAACCTTTTTGCAATATTTTAACAGAGATTTTGAATTTGAAGTTAAGACATAATTATCGCAATTATAACAAGTAAAGGCTTCAAATATCTGGCTTTGCGTGTAATAAGTCTCTCATTTAGTTTCACCCTTTACATTGAATTATGGGATTAAATGAACTGTTGCACCATATTCTAGTTTCTTTGTTTAACCTGTAAGTTCTGATGTGTTTTTGTTTACAGGAACACCCACCAGTGCCTGTGAGTTGATGGGTAGAGTAGATGTCTGGTTGATGAGAACCTACTGGGATTTTGACTTTCCTCATCCGTTCCTTCCCAACTTTAAATTTGTTGGTGGGATCCACTGCAGACCTGCTAAACCACTACCAAAGGTGTAACTTTTTCCATGCACAAATTACATCCTCAGATAATTCATCACATAAACAGAGATTTTGAAATTAGAAGAAAAATGTACTGTCTGGTTTAAAGATTTTTTTAAATCTTCCTCTTCCTGCAGGAAATTGAAGACTTTGTCCAGAGCTCTGGAGATGATGGTATCGTGATATTCTCTTTGGGATCTATGGTGAAAAATCTCACTATAGAGAAGGCAAACATGATCGCTTCAGCCCTCGCTCAGATTCCACAAAAGGTCAGGAAAATCTACAAAATATTAACCCCATGAACTCAAAATGAATAAAGAACTAAGCAGAAACTTAGACAAATCTTTGCTGACCTTCAGATGTGAGTAGAGGTTTGACCAAGTCACTGCTTTGCAAGTCCCAAATAAAGTCACAAGTCTTTCCAGTCAAGTCACGAGTCAAGTCCAAGTCAAAGACAACCAAGTCCAAGTCGAGTCCAAAGTCAATGATCTGGAAGTCCAAGTCCTTAACTTTGAATTTTCAAGTCATCGGTCTAACTTCAATTTAATGACGATGATAATAAATAAATTCCAGAATTAAAGCTTCATTTATTTGCTCAAACAAGCAGAAAGAGCAACTGAAACGGATTATAAACAAATTGCTGCTGCATTTAGCAGTTAGTCAAACCCAGAACGAAGAATCATTCATGATTTATGTCCATGTCGTGCTGCTTCTGTGTTAAAATATCAAATATGCTCAAGTCATCATCAAGTCAACAGATGCAAGTCGTTTCAAGTTGCAAGTCATTGGCATTCAAGTCTGAGTCCAGTCATAAGTCTTTATAGATTTTATCAAGTCAAGTTAGAAGTCATTAAAATAATGACTCGAGTCCAAGTCAGGCGACTCGAGTACACACCTCTGGATGTGAGTTTCATAAAATGTTTGACATAGAATCTGATGTAGTTTGCCACCAATGGAACATCACAAGCATTTGTTTTTTTTCATGATCTAAATGTAACCATCAGTTCCATAAATGCTTCTTTAATGTTGGTTTGGGTCGCAGGTCCTGTGGAGATACAGTGGGACCAAACCTGACACTTTAGGTTCCAACACTAAACTCTATGACTGGATCCCACAAAACGACCTGCTGGGTGAGTAAAGATAAATGCGCTGGGTGGAAGGATAAATGCAAAAGGACCAAAAAAGTTCTGAGCGTTTGCGTACGGTTTCAAATCAGGCTGGAGCTTCAACAAAGAAACACTCAGGATTTGTTGGCTGCCTCCTGAAGTAGAAAAGAGTCATCCCTAAATTTTGAAGCACTTTTATTCCAGAGCAGCTACCTGGAAGCTACAAATGATCATGTACATTTGCTCTCAGGTCACCCTAAAGCCAGAGCTTTTATCACTCATGGTGGTGCAAACGGGATTTATGAGGCCATCTATCACGGCGTTCCCATGGTGGGAATCCCTATTTTTGCTGAGCAGCCAGACAACATGGTGCACATGAAAGCCAAAGGAGCTGCAGTTGTGTTGAAGCTGAACTTCATGACATCTGAAGACCTCAGAGATGCGATCAACACCGTCATCAATGACAAATCGTAAGTACTTTAGTATTTTGGGGCCAACACCAGATTTAATTAAAGCTTGGGTGTGTAGCATGACATCATCAAGGAAAGAAGAGGATTTTGAAACTTGAACAGCCAACACTCCTGCCCTTGCACCCTCTCTCCTTCTGGAAGTAGCTGAAGCCCACACAGCAATATCCTTGGAACGCTGACAGACAAGTCATGTTTTCAATACATTCCTGCCCAGATATATCCGATTTTGACTGGTGATTTTTCTAATCCGTTTTATCGGGTTCTGCAATAGCTATGTATCACTCACTTTTACCAAATCGTAGCGCACCCCTGCTAACACTACAACGGAACAGGGCTGCCAACTCTCACACAGTAAGCATGACCATGGGCTTCTATGAAGGTAGTGGAAGGTGCTAAATGATCATGATGATGATGATGATGAGCATGAGACACACACACTTGACCTCAGCCAATAACATGGCTCACTCTGAAACCAACAATAGGACCATGCGGCTGTCTGTCTCGCCAGACCACCTCACTTCCACATATACCTGCATCCTCCACTCAGTGTGTTTTACAGCACAACACCACTGGTGTGAGAGGTTTGCCGATCACTCGCAGGGATTCCCTAACCCCGGGTTTCCATGGGAGCCGTCAGCAGCACGTTACTGCAGCAGCACGTCTTGCTCCCGTAAGCTGCTGCTTGGCCCCTCCCACGAGACGCGAAGCAGCAGGGGAGCAGCTGTCACCGACAGAGCACGAAGTCACACGAGTGACTTCGTCAGTAAACACAACAACAAGCAGGAGAAAACTACAACATGGTTTGTGTTTTATGTTCTGTCCGTTTTATAATCGCCAATACGGACCTGAAAAACAAAGGAGACCGCTAGCTATGTGATAACTTCTCACGGGGACGCACAGTTAGTAACGTTTTTTAAAAGTAAAGCAACCGGAAAGCAGTACGTTCTTTATTCTGAAAATCTCGGTAGCTTCGCTCCGTTTCCGTGTCCAATTTCCTGTCTTTCCTTCCCCAAAAATGTCTAACTTGACCCGTTTCAGAGGCGTCGCGCGTAGAAAATAGAACCGGCGCGTAAAGGCCGCGACTTGCTGCTCCTGAGACGCGGCCGACTCGCGCTGCTGACGGCTGCCGACGGCTCCAGTGGAAAAGGTTCTGTTGACCACAGCGGTTCCTATCAGCAGCTATGACGTGCTGCTGCAGTAACGTGCTGCTGGAGGCTCCTGTGGAAAGCCGGGGTATGTGTGGTGCGCGCACCCCTGGGGGTGCGCGAGCTGCCGCTAGGGGGTGCGCGAGGTGAAAAGTGTAATGGCTGCGGAGCTCAGAGAAGTCTGTCATATGTCACCATTAGCGTAGCCAGAAACTCATTTGTGGGTGGGCCTAAGAAAACGTAAGTAGGCCCAATAAATGTAATTGAAAACAAGTATATTTTGCTTGTGTGTGTCCTCCGCATGTGCCCTAGCTTCATAATAATGATGCGCTCCGAGCTTCAGCACTCTGACCTGCGCACGCTGTCAATAGCAAGATATGTTCCGTATTTGATCATTTTTAATGATGTTGGAGAAATTTGAAGGTGGTGAGTCATTCTGGCAGATTGTAATTAACACCTGTCTCCAAGGCCGGATTAACCATATGGGCAACTGGGCAATTGCCCAGGGCCCACGATCTCTAAAGGGCCCAGGGCAGCAAGGGCACGAGCAAAATACTGTAGGCCTATCTGTAATCTCCCGCTTTATATTAAACTATGGTGACCGTACGTCCCGTTTTCCCTGGACATGTCCACTTTTCAATCAATCAATCAAATTTTATTTGTATAGCACCTTCTACAACATTATCCGAAGCCCAAGGTGCTGAACAACATCATTAAAAGAAAAACATTCCCAGTACATGGGCATAAAAGCAGGATAAAAACATAAAATCATAAAATATCAAGCAAACACTATTACAGATAAGAGATATCGGAATAAGACTAATCGATAAAAAAACAAATATCAGACAAAATAAAATCAAGCATCTGGGTTAAAAAGAAGAATAGTTAAAACCATAATGTCAGGACAATTCAAGTGACCCTAGCGCTGAAACGCAATCAGATAAAAATGAGTCTTTAAACGAGACTTAAAGACTTGAAGGGATGGTGCCTGCCTAATGCTCAGTGGCAATTCGTTCCACAGAGTTGGAGCCAAAATAGAAAAAGCACGACAACCCCTCGATCGAAATTTCGACCGGGGGACCACCAGAAGTTCCTGCTCGACTGAGCGAAGAGACCGAGATGGAGCATACCTGTTCAAAAGCGCAGTAATGTACGAGGGGGCACTGCCCTGGAGGGCCTTATAAACGAGAGTTAAGATTTTAAAATGAGCTCGATATTTTACCGGGAGCCAGTGCAGATCATACAGCACTGGAGTAATGTGCTCTCGACATCTAGTGCCTGTCAGGAACCTAGCCACAGAGTTCTGCACAAACTGGAGCCGTGCAACCGTGCACTGGGTCAGACCAGCATACAGAGCGTTGCAGTAGTCCAGCCGGGACAGGACGAAGGCATGCAACACAGACTCCAGATGAGCTCTGGACAGCAGAGGCCTGATCCTGGATAGTCTTTTCAGGTTAAAGAAACAGGACCTCACCACTGTATTTACATGAGTGTCAAGATTAAGTGATGAGTCGATTTTAATCCCCAAATTACTGACCATTTTCTTTTCATAGGGTGTCAATGGGCCAAGGTCAATATCAGCACCAGAGCCATTTCTTCTGCCAGGACTAAGTATTATAACTTCCGTTTTGCTCTCATTTAGGTGCAAAAAATTAGAAGCCATCCAACATTTTATGTCCTTCAAGCAATCCAGTAAAGGAGAAACAGATCTATCCTCCCCACGTCGAAGAGGGAGATAGATCTGGCAGTCATCAGCAAAGAAATGAAATTTCATATTATGCTGGCGAAGGAGGACTCCAAGAGGAAGCAAATACACTGCAAATAGGAAAGGATCAAGGACAGAGCCCTGTGGCACACCCCAACGAAGTTTCATGCTGGGTGACGTTACCTCACCCATCTGCACTAAATGTCCTGTCTTGAAAATAAGAGCGAAGCCATTGGAGGGCCTGCCCAGTTATCCCCACTCAATGCTGTAGTCGGTCCAGAAGGACTTCGTGGTCGACTGTATCAAAAGCTGCAGATAAGTCAAGCAATAGCAGGACAACATCATTGTCCATGTCACAGGCTAAAAACGTGTCATTAAAAACCATTAAAAGAGCAGATTCAGTGCTGTGACCTTTCCTGAACCCTGACTGAAAGGTTTCCCATAAATCATTGTGTCCAAAAAGGCAACCAATTGTGAATACACGACCTTCTCCAGCAGTTTGGAAAGAAAAGGGAGTTTTGAGATGGGCCTGTAATTAGCTAAGGTTGTCACATCCAGCCCCGGTCTTTTTAACATGGGATGAATAACAGCCTTCTTAAACGAGGATGGAACCATACCAGAAGTAAGACTGCCATTTATGATTGCCAACAGCAAAGGGCCTATCACTGGAAAGAGCTCTTTATAAATTCTAGCGGACAGCACATCACAAGGAGAGCCAGAAGGTTTGAGCTGAGCGACCAGTTTTTCCAAGTCTGATAATGTAACAGTCTCAAATGTTTCCAGTGTAGCCTGGAGCGGCTCTGGGAGTAGAGAGTCAGATGGTGAGTTTGTAATGGCAGCTCGAATAGATGTAACCTTATCAACAAAAAAGTGAAGAAAGTCATTACAAGTTTCACCTGTGGGAGGCAAAGAGCTAGAATCAGAGAACTCAAGTAGCAAATCTACAACAGAAAAAAGAGTGCGTGGATCATGAGAATTTTTTTCCACGATATCAGCAAAGAACTTCACCCTTGCTTCCTTACGAGTTTGCTGACAGCTAAACAAAGATTCTCTGAATATCTCACGAGAGACTTGGAGTCTGTCTTTCTTCCATTTCCTTTCTGCCCTCCTACAGGATTGCCTGCAGGCCCAAACATCATCAGAGAGCCATGGTTCTGGCCTAGGCCTCTTCTTTCTAATCCTAAGAGGTGCAATTCTATCCAAAATGTTTTTACAAATACTGTCAAATTGGAGTGTAAGCTCCTCTGCATTAAGTGACATTGTGTGTAGCTCACTTCCTTCTGCACATAGGAGCTCACCAAGCTCAATAATCTTTGCTGCATTTAAAACACGACGGAATCTCACATGAAAGGAAGCCACAGCAGGCACGTAGGGCAAGTTAAAATCACATAAAATGGGCGAGTGATCAGAAAAAACCGGGCTCAGTATCTCTACACCAGCAACAGAGAGACCAATAGACATCACTAAATCCAGGGACACTAAATCACTCTCTGTCCGGACGTCCGGACTGGGGGTTCTTATCTTAGGTGTGTTCTTGCTGTGTCTTTGTAAATCCATGCTTTCGTTCTTTTTTAAACACAGAAACAGTTTTGTTTACCTGTTTGTAGCTACGGTTTCGCCGACAGCTGCCGGCTTCTTCAGGCTGACGCTGATGGTGGCGCGTCACTTCCTTCTCCGTTTATCTGCGGGCAGCAGAGGACGTTGTCGCCCTCTACTGCCCGCTCTCCCCTCTCCGACGATGCAGTCCCATGCGTGGTCCAGCGTGTAAACTCCGTCGTCCCTGTTCATGGTCCCACATCCACGTCTCCTTATCTCTATTGCTTCCTTGATCCATCTTTTGTATTTTTGTTGTTCGGTGGTTATGATCCGTGTGCTGTCCCAGTCCATTATATGGTTTTCTCTTAAGCAATGTTCTGTTACGGCTGACTTCTTTATTGTACTTTCTGCTTCTTCTTTTGCTGCTCTTGTGTGTTTACGATTTGCCTCTTTCTCGCACTCCTTTCTGTGTTCTATTGTCCGTGTGTTGAGTTGGCGTCCGGTTTCTCCTATGTATGTTTTATTGCATATTTTGCATGGGATTTCGTAGATGACTCCACATTTTTGTCCAGCTGATATTTTGTCTTTTGGGTGTACTAATCTGTTTCTAACTG